TAACGAAAAAAAAAAAAAAAAGACCCAATGCAGCCAAAAATAAATAAATAAATATAACATTTTTTAAAAAACGGAAAGAGGAGAGGTCCCTTTGTTAAGGGTTCAGGACAAGTTTGGTGTGGCATGGGTTTCATTTGAGATGTGAGTGAAATATGGGTAGAGGTCACCAGTGGACAGCTGTAGAAGGTATACAGGGTTGGAACTCAACAGGGAGGTCCGGGAGCCGTCAGTGAGAAGGTGGCATTTGAAACCTTGAGCTGAGCAGATGAGGGAACGGAGGAGAGGACAGAGTCCCAGGAAACCTCAGTGTTTATGAGGTGGGTTAAGAAGGAAGAATCTGTGGCTGAGCCTGAGAAGAAGTCACCAGAGGAGAAAACTGGCAGATTCGGCTGTTATGGAAGTTGAGGACTGAGAGCTGTTGAATTGGGGAGGCCAGGGCTCTGGGGGAACCAGGTTCTAACCCTCGCCCACTGCTTTCCTGTCCCGTGATAAACAGCAGTGCAACCCTGCACAGAAGGACGCAGGTCCTGCCCTGGCGGAGCTCAGTGAGGGGGAGGCCAAGCGCACACAGGGCTGTGGAATGACAGACTCTGGTGAGGACCTCGGGGGAAGAGCCGCAGATGCTGTGAGAACGTGGAACAGGAGGGGTGCTGTGGGCAAGGCTTCCCGAGGAAGGGCCGGGTCCCACGTTTTGAGAAGCGTTCAGGCACAGGAAGAGCATGTCCGAGAGTCCAGACAAAGGAAGCCGGCATGTGGAGACGGGAGCGGGGAGAGGGGGCCGGGACCTGAGAGCCAGGCACAGCCTCTGAGGAGTTGAAGTACCCTGTCCACGGGCCCAGGTTTATGTTCTGCAAGGATCAGGCTGCAACCAATGTGGAGCCACCTGGCATAGATGTGTTAGGACTTGTCTGAGGTTGCTGTCGGGTCCAGATGAGTCGGTGATGACCCCTCACCATGCGGGCCCAGCAGAAGGGCTGTGGGACAGGCTGTCTCGATCCCTAGAGCGCCCACACCTTTAGTAGAGCTCATTCTTCCCCATATAAGGTGAGATCTTTTGAGGTGGGAACCACACTTATCTCATATCTTTTAACTGTCCTTGGGAGAAATATTCTAATTTTGTGGGAACTGCTGGAGACCACCACAAAGTAAACAGAGAACGCAGGCAGCAGGGAACCAGTGGAGAGTTTAGGAGGGGCGTCAGGTGTGGACTGAGTCCGGTGTGAAAGATAGAGGAAGAGAAGGAAGAATTGTTCACTTTACCTTCGCCTCGGGAGCCTCTGATCCATGAGGAGTCCCCCTTCCTGAGTGAAGTGTTAGTTGGATTAAACTGAATAGAAAGTATGACTGGAGTAGAAAGCTGTCCAGAGAGACCCTGAAGACACCTAGTAGTGATGTCAAGTCCTTCTCAGGTTTGGGAAGCTGTCCCTGAAGGAAAACTCTGAGTGGCTGTCTGGAGGAAGTAAGGACATCAGAGCCAACCGGTGTGTGCATTTCTCTTGATGGGATGAACCTCCTCTCTTTGGTCAAAGGTGACAGTCAGATGGAGCATCCTGGGAGTGCTGGCCTGTGGTTGTGTCTCTCCTGCACCCCTGGTGAGTCTCCCATCTGCCTGGACTAAAGTGCCCTCAGAACAGTTTCCCTTCCAAGGGGAGCTCAGTTCTCTGAGCTCAGGTGAAGGATCTGGATGTTCTTGGAAGCACCTTGATCATTAACTCTAGACCAGAACCAAAAACCGACCCTTTGAACAGCCGGTGACGGAAAAGCTTATGCTTCCAGGATAGGACTCCTAGAACCTCTAATTGCCTCCAAATGTGCTTCTAAAATATTATTTTCACATCAAAACTATTTACAACTAGGAAAAATAAAACGAACAGAAAAAACAAACTGTGTCACCCCTGGCTCTGTATGTTTTATATTGAGAGATGGGAGGAAATGGCTCAAAGAGACTCATCTGAGTCTCTTGCTTAAGAAATGAACCCAAAGCCTAATCACTTTTCTGGAATATTTTGTATATATATGTATACATATATACATATGTATTTTACATATATACATATATATAAAATATGAATAATGTGATTAAATCAACTTGAACGTCTCATGAGTTTGGTTGACACCCAACGTGAAAATATTCTTAAAATCAAAAATTTAAAAATTCAGGAATGATTAGGTAAATTACCTCCAATGAAAAAGTGTTTTTCTTTGTCTTTTTCTCTTTCTTTGTTTTATTTATGCTAGAATTCAGGGCAGACTGAACCTGGCAGGGTGGTCGGCTGAGGGGTCCCTTGTGCGCAGCCTTCCACCCACTAAGATTTGATGAGGCTGCATCTGCAAACTTTTTTAATTTGCATAAAGGTGCTGTAGGGATTAGGGCAGCAGTGGTTTTAAAATAACATGCAGTGGTTTTAAAGAGTTAATTTACAAGGTGAAAGTTGAGCCCAAATGCTCTGTAGTCCTGTTTAATATGTTTGATTTAGTCTTGTTCTCATCCCCTGCCACCAACATCTGTTGTCCTTGTAGCTGCCAGAATGGTCTATTTAAAAGGTAGATCAGGTTATCTCACTCCCATGCTCAAAACCTTTAGTAGCTTCTATCACATAGAATACAATCCAAAGCCCCTAGTGTGGCCTTCGTGGTCTGGTCTTGGCTACCTTTTCACCTTCACCTCCTTCCTCTCTGCCCTTCATTCAAGAACTCTAATCACCCTGGTCTCCTTGTAGTTCTTCAGACAGGCCACCTCAGGGCCTCTGCACTTGTTTGTTCCTCTCCTGGACTATTCTTCCTGAGCCACAAGCCCACATGACTGACTTCCTTGAGTTGCACAGGTTTCTGTTCAGATGGCACTTTGTCTATTAGACACAGCACATCTGAACATGGCCCTCTGTCCTCCACATTCTTTTTTTTTTTTTTAATTTTATTGAAGTATAGTTGATTTACAATGTTATGTTAATTTCTGCTGTATGGCAAAGTGATTCAGTTATACATATATGTATTCTTTTTCATATTCTTTTCCATTATGGTTTATCACAGGATATTGATTATAGTCCCCTGTACTATATACAGTAGGACCTTGTTGTTTATCCATTCTATATATAATAGTTTGCATCTGCTAATCCCAAACTCCTAATTTAATCCTCCCCCACTCCCTTCCCCCTTGACAACTACAAGTCTATTCTCTATATCTGCAAATCTGTTTCTGTTTCGTAGGTAAGTTCATTTGCGTCATATTTCAGATTCCACATGTAAGTGATATCATATGGTATTTGTCTTTCTCTTTCTGATTTACTTGACAGTATAATCTCTAGATCCATTCGTATTGCTGCAAATGGCATTATTTCATTCTTTTTTATGGCTG